TTGTGTGGCTTTCTTAGTATTCTATCTGTGGAAAGCCGAATGTGATTCACACCAATTAGAAATAGATCCTAGGTGCCCAAAGACATCACATCCAGTGGCTAGTTTCCTAGCAAACTAAAATCATTGGCCAAATCATATTAATTATAATAATATTTTCCATGTATTTCTTGTTCACAATATGCCAGGGTTATAGTGGCTCATTTAATCTTCATAAAAACTCATTATCAGTGGGTATTATTATTAATCCCTTTACACTGGTGAGGAATCTGAGATTCAGGACAAAGTACTTCGTACAAGTTTACACAGCTAGTTATTTGCGGGCAGGACCAGTATTTGAATTCAGGTCTGTGTGAGTTCCCAAACCTAGGTTCTCCTGGTAAACAGAACAAGCCTATGGTCTGACCCCATTTGAATCAACTCTCTTGCCCACACTTAAGGCTTTTACACTGGATAACAAGAGAAGTTGGCTGGCGAAAGTTTACATTATTATTTTTTTAAGTGATAAGTTGCATGAATTGTCCCTACATGGCCAGTAGGTAATTGTTTATTTTCAAATGACTTTCAGTTGTTTTTTGGGATTAGCTCTAGCCTGGCACTTCTCAAACTTTGGTATGCAAACAAATCACTGGGGATCTTCTTAAAAATCAGATTCCAATTCAGTAGGTCTGAGGAAGGGTCTAAGACTCTGCATTTATAAATAGCTCCCAGGGGATGGTGGTGCTGGTGGTGCTGCTGGTGCGAGGACCACACTTGGAACAGCAAGGCCCTAGCGCACTCCATCCTTGCCTCTGTTTCCTAAACTTGTGATATCCTCAACATAATGTGGAAGTTCTTCATATCATCCTTCTGGGCTGTAATAGACATGTTTGCATCGGCCTATTTTCTCAGATATTAAAAGAAACTAGGGTGGGATTAAAGGAAACCAGGCATCAAGGCTAAAGAATGGAGGCAGGAAACAGCACCCCCGGCAAACCTTCCTTCTTCTCCTACTCTACCATAAAAACCATCTGCCTTGTCTTTTCTAGTTCCTTTGTTTTAATTTTTCAGGAAGTATGTGAATGTGTGTGTGTGTGTGTGTGTGTATGCATGCACATTTATGGGTGCTGATTCTGAGATTCAGAGCTAGAATCACTGGATTTCACTAGCTTCCTTTCCTCAAAACTAATAGGGAGCAGCAGAGACTGGGTTTTCTAGATGCCTTGCTGTTGGTGGTCTAAGCCACATTAGCCAGGTAAGTGTGAGAAGCTAAATCTTTGTCATGTTTAATTCTGCCCTCCGCCTGAAACCTGAATATGCTAGTTGTAGGCATATACCATGTTTTCTTATCTAGCAAGATAGGAGTGTGTGTGTGTGTGTGTGTGTGTGTGTGTGTTGGGGGCAGGTGGTGGGTGAAAAGGCAAGTCACAAAGATATGCAATAAACATGGAAATATAAATATGGGATGAAAGTAGACGGTTGTAATCTTGATAAACTTGGCTTTAGTTTCCTCTCAATTTCTTGGAAAGATCTCCAGAGCGCTTTAGGAAATGTATTCAGTACTAGCAGGCAGTCCTGGGTTCTGGTTAATTCTGTCAGTAGCTAGTTGTGAGATTTAAGCAAGTCATTTCTACTCTCTGGGACTCAGTTTCTCTATGGGTGAAATGAGGGGATTGGACCTTGCCGACATCCCTCCTTGTTTCTCACTATCAGTGCTTCCTTTGCCTTTGCTAAGGCAAAACCTGGGCCAATTGCATCAGCCACCAGCATCTGAGCTCCAGCTCCACAATGGGTGATGGAGAACCAAACCCAAGGAACTTTGCAAGTTCCCTTGACCCAGTAAGTTGCAGTTTTTGCTTAGTCCTACCAGCTTTTTTTATTTTTAAATCATTTGTTCTTGCTCAGTTGAGCACGATGTATGCGCTTGTTTATGAGACCACAGCTGAGTCACTCAGGACTCATTCTTTGCTATTGGGATAGACCAGTTAGTCTCACTGGACAAAGGACTTAAGAAACCCATCAATAGAATAAAAGCTGCATGACTTGTAGAAAGGTTGACACTACAGAAAACTTAGCTACTAAGCTCTGGACTCAGAGGCTAGCCACAGCTTAGCTCTGATCTGGGGTTGATTAGCTGCAACTTCTGCCTAGAATAAAGCATCACTTCTGCTTCAGGCTGCAAACTTTGTCATACCCTTCCTTGAAAACCTGGAAAATGACCAGGCCAGATGAGGTTGGTGGCACCTTGGGGCACAGGGTGGTTTGGGGAGAAAGGTTCTGACCCTTATATCCCCACCAGCTAACAAGAGGCTTCTGAATGGCTTGGTGTACTTAGCTGAAAGCAAGAATCTTTGGCAGAAGTAAAGCAGGCAGAAATGTTTTGGTCCCTCTCCTTGAGTGATGGAGCCATGGCAAAAGACAAACTAGAATATCTGGGAAGCAGGCTGGAGGGAAGTAGCATGATATGCTTAAAATATCCATTTGATAATTAAGCACCCGAATGGCTCACAGGTTGGAATTTAATATGCTAAGGAGTGAAATGAGATGGCAAAAGTGAAAACGTACTTCAATGCTCCCAATTCTCTGGTTCTAAGGAATTCTATCACTGTTTACTCAGTGTTTACAAGGCAAATCGTGGGCAATTTTAGGGTGCTTTACATCTGAATCAATTTTCTGGACTAATTCTATCCTCAGCCAAAGCCAGAGAAAGCAAACTTCTGGATGGTTTTCTTTGTATGTGTTTCAAAACATCTTTGAGTTCTCTGCTGTCCCTCTCCTCTTCCTCCCCACAGCGTCTCTAATTTTCCGGCCCAGCTTTCTCTAAGCGCTGTGGTTCTGTATGTCATTCTGGTTTCAGTTGTTAATTCTAGAAAGAAAGGACTCATAAGACTATGGCTCTTATAGCTGGTAGAGATGGCAGATATCATCTGGTCCAGGTCTCTATGTTGGAGCACACACTAAAGCCAGGTGAACCTGTGTCAACACAGCTGGGGACTGCATTGGTTCTGGATCTCTGCACTGCTCACCTCCTTGTCCCCTGAGGAACCATGGATCAGGACCCACTCTGACAGCCAGATACTCACATCACCAAGAACAGTGCAAAGACCTACACCTTACGCTTCATCCGTGTTGACACTTACAGTTCTTCTCCAAGTATGAAGCTGCCAGTTCTTTCCTACCTGTCTGCAACCTGCTCTTTGCTAGTTATGGGAAAGCGTAATTTTAACCTATCTAAGAAGATATTTGCTTACAATTGCCTAAAAAAGTAACAGAATGGGCACCTTTTTAGATTCTACTTGAGTAATCCTTGTTCTGTTCTGTTTCTCGGCAGTGAGCATTAGAACAAATTGCCTGATGCAACATAACAGTTCCACTTAATGCAGAATCTGTTTCTTTAATTTGCTGAGTTGGAAGGAGGTAATTCATTGTATTCTGGTAACAGGGTAATAAATAGAGAGTTTAACAGAAGAGCATTGGTGTTTTGGAAGCACAAATTCAAATGCTCCCCTCTCTGCTACAGCGACACAGAGCCCAGATTGTACGAGGTTGATCTGGGTTCTTGAAAAAATACACACACACACATACACACACACACACACACAAATACTGTATATGTATATATGGTGAAACTTCATGAAAGCAGCATGTCCCACGGACCAAAAAGTAGATTTCGGGTGGTAATCAGTTTTTCCTTCAATCTTGCAAACAGAGTGACAGAGGCTCTTCTTGACTCTGTGAGTTTCCTTTATCTCAGGCTAAATATTTGCTTTGAAACCAACTTGGTCCTATCTGATTGTATTTCCACGCCTTTTGATTTGGAATAAGCAGGTTTTGAAGGCTGGGTGAAAGGTACCATTTGACATCATTTATATCTCAGCTTTTTAAGAGTCTATGAAAAAGGAGACATGATATAGATCATCTGTAGAAAACTAAAAAATGCGTGAGACCGACAATTGACAATTTTGAATGCTGATCTATAAACTTGCCGTATTTGCTAAATGCCATGAAGATAAATATATGGCAATAGACAAGTGGGTCTGGGTGCCATGTCAATGTAGTGATTATTTCTCATTTGAAGCCAGGGCCCACACACACTCTCTAAGGGGATCATTATTGATTAGTCTGTGTCTCTCCTACTCATATAATAAAGTCAGGTAAAGTTCAGAGATCCTGTCTTCCAGGCTAGTTTCCCCGCTCCAGGCTTTTCGTGAGGGAGTGATAACCTTGTTAGCCATTCGGTCATCACTAAGTACCTGACTATGGGCCAGAAAAGCCTAAGTTGGCAATGGGGAAAAAGCCCTTCTCCCAGTCTCATTCTTAGAGACCATGGAGAAAGATCAGGATCTGTGAATACAGCTCAGTACCTGTGTGTGTGGGGTATGATCATGAGTGTTTGTCTATGTCAGTGTGTGTGTTTGGGGGGAAGGGAGTGTCCGCTTTGGAGCAGAGATCTGACTGATGTCCCCCTATTTGCATCCTGGTTCCTTTAAGGAAACCAGGAAAATGAATATGGCCATTCCTTAAGTTTGAAGGATACAAAGCAGAAAGAAGGTGGATGGGGGCTCTGGTCCCGGAGCCTTCACCCTCACCGGCTCACCCCTGGTTTTTTGCATCTTAAAGTGGCTTTTGGCAAAATGACCAGTGTCCTGATTCCCAAGTCCATCTCCCAGACCTATTTCAAGGATGCCTGACAGCAGGTTCCCCAGGGATGGAGCAGATCACTGTTCAGGAAGAGGGCAAAGCTCTGGTTTTGGAGAACATCCCGAATGAAAAGGACGTTTTTGGTCATTGCTAAGAGCCACTTTGTCTTAACACCCACAGAGCTTCACCTCATCGCATCTTTCTCCCTGTGTCCAAAAACAATCTGTTGCTGGCTTCCCTCTGCTCCCCACCACCCCAGCCCACAGCCAGCCAGCCAGCGCCTCCCAGCCTTCAGCATCCCAGCACCTTGACTCAACCGGCATCTCGCCGCCCCTTGGCAGCGCTCCTCGAAGTAGAGGGCGCGGGGCCACCTGTCCACTTACCCCAGGCCAAGTGATTTCTTCGATCTGCGTCGTCTGGTGTCCACCAGCTAGGGCGCGTGGTGCAGCAGCCTTACCGGACTCGTCTCCCGCGGCGCGCGAAAAGCAGCCGCCTGGGACAGCCCCGGGCCTGGAGGCTGCCGGCCGGTGGCCGAATGAGCACAAGGAAAGGGGCGGGGTGTGGCGAAGAGCGCAAGTGCTGGCTCCTACCTTGGTTTCTCCCTTGGCTCCTCAGTTATTCCCAAACTTCCCTGTGGCTGGCCGGCCCTCCTCACCTTTCGCCTTTGTCAGCGCCCCGAAACTCTTTGCTCTACCTGCGCCCCTGCCTTATTCTCGCTCGCTTCTCCCGGCTCTCTGATCCAACCGCGGCGCCTTCAAACGCACGCACTGCCTCCACACAGCCAGCCACACAATAAGAGCAAGGGAAGAAACTGACAGGGGAAACTGACAGAGGTAGCTGACACACCGGAGTGTGAGGGAGAGAGAGAGAAGAAACAGGGAGAGAGAGCGAGAGAGAGCGAGAGAGACCGCATTCACACTCTTACACGCACAAACGCACACTCAAGCTCCAGCTGCTAGGTAGCGGCTGACAGGAGCCCCAGCCACCCCTCCAAATCTTTCTAGACTAGAGGTTTCTGTCCCCTTCTGCTGCTGCTTCTGGAAAATGCTATACAACGAAGGGAAGAGAGAAGCAAAGAGGGGTGGGGAGGGGAAAATCGAGGAGGTGCGCTCCCTTTCTCCTCCCCACCCCTAGCTCCAAAAATGTCCAACCCTGAGCTCTTCCTTTCTCTTCTATCTGCTCCCGGCTTCCCTCTGCTCCTGTTCTCTCTTTCTCCCTCCCTTTGGGTGGCTGCTAGCTGCGGAGAACCCGTCGCGGTTGTGATTGTGTGTGTGTGTGTGTGTGTGTGTGTGTGTGTGTGTGTGTCTGTGTGTGAGGGAGTGGGGGGAGACCGCCGCGGTTGGCGAAAGCACCTCTCACCTCCCCCAGCCCAGGGCCGTTGCCTCACACACTCCCCGCACTCGGCAGGGGCGGGCGGGGCGGGGCGGGGGAGGCGGGGAGGGGGGAGGGAAAGAGGGAGGACGGGGCAGCCTGCAGGGGCAGCAGCTCCTGCCTTCTCTGCAGCTCGGTGGCCAGGGGTGGAAGGAAGCCGAAGCCGCAACCCCAAGTCAGCCCCCGCTGCCCCGTCCCACCGTCTCATCTCTCCCCCCTCGGTACGGAATTTTCTGTTTCGTTCGTTTGCTCTCCCTGGGCTTCCTCCTCCCATGGGTGGCGGCAGAGACTGGGGGGCTGAGCACGGGTGCGGGTTGAGGGGACCGGAACTCCTCAGGGCGCCTGGCTTGTAGAGTCTCTCTTTGCCCCTTTGGCCTGAGTGTCCCCTGCTTTGGACAGTGACCGCCACCCACCCCTCTCAGCCTAGGCTCTGGGCTGGCTGTGGTGGGGCTGCGCCGGCAGCCACGGGTCATCCTGGGGAAGGGGAGTTGAGCCACCGTGAGCTCAGGCGAGTGGCCAGCAGACAGCAGGACAGCGGGACCTTGAGTCATCAGGGGCTGATCTGGGGTCGTCTTGGACTGGCTTCGATCCCTGACAGGTCTAGTCTAACCCAGTGCAGGGAGCTTGAGAGCACAGCCCGATTCTCCCATCAGTCTCCCTTTCGCCCATAGAGTCAGTCTTCCAAGTCGCAGCCTAGATTGAAGGGAGTGAGGACAGATAGTGGTATTTGTAGGCTCAGGGAGTAAGTTGCTTAGTGGCGGTAGTGGCGTCTTTGTGTGTGCCTGGGGGCGGCGGTGTCACTGGTCACTTGGGCGACTCTTTGATCTTTGCGCCTTCGTGTCACGTGAGGCACCATACCACCCCCGCCTCTCATCCTATACTCTGGCTCCCAGAACGCCGCTGACCCGCTTAAACACTCCTGGAACCGGCTGAATGGCCCCACCCCCACCACAAGCTTGAGACTTCTACCTTGCAACCTGGAGGCGCTTAGGTCCGCTAGCTGGCAGCATCTCCGGGCCCGGCTGCACAGCCCCAAATCGGCTTTGTCTTTTATCTCCTTCACTACTTCGCTCCAGAAAGTGGGGTGCAAGGCTCTGCCTTTCTGGACGCTGAGCTAGTTACCTGAAACCCTTTTCCCTCCCCATCCTCAGAACAATCCGAAGCTCACTGAAAGCTCCGCTGCACTTCCCGCTCTCGCTCTCGCCTTATCCTCCTGAGCACACACTGCGAGCAGTGGAGCTCCCCAAAGAGACAGAACCCTCTGCCTTGCCTAAATGGCTGTTTCCACTGCTGTGCCGGGGAAGCTGGCATAGTAATGTTTAATGGGAGCCCTAGCAACTCTGCTTGACTACCCTGGGAAAGTCTCTTGGTGCACCAAGCAAGACAAGTTTTTCTGTTGTCCTTGGTCCTCTTAGCCCCGAGGTGGCCCAATATTCTGGAGAGTATTAAGCTTTTGTGTGAAAGCAAGGCATTGTAGAAAAGTATTGCTTTGGGGGATGAACAGTTTGTATTTGTGTGTAAGATGGGGGTGCAGGGGTGATGGTGGGGCCTCCACCCCCCTACTGTTTAAACACTTCAGAAAGCCTTTCTAAAGATCAGTCAATCATGTAGATGAAAAAAAAATCACTTGATTCTGAAAAATTTTTGCTTTTCTCCCATTCGAAAGCAGTTTTACTGTGGCTAGCAACCTCGAATGTACAGCCTCCCAAATAAAAGAGGTCTATGTTGTGATTAAGCTGGTCCCTCCTTTGATGCGAGGGGTGAGTAAAATGTGTGGCTCTGGGCAAGACTTTGGGGCATCTCCCTTTCTCTGACCAAATTGCTGTGGCTGTGGCCATTTTTGCTTCTATTCCAAGCCTAGGATGTAACCAGGGGCAGTGCCCAGGGAGAAGGAGAGCCCTGTTCTTGTGAGTGGTCTCCTTCAAAGGTCCTATATACAGTGCAGTTGTCTTTAACATATGAGAATTATGGGTGTTTTTGAATTTTGGTGCTTTCTCAGTGGATTGTGGATGAGACTCAAATTTTTCTACCTGCTCCTTCTCCACCCTGCTAATGTTTTCAGGAGATCAAGGACATGCAAAGGAAAACTTTTTCCAAAGTTAAAAGCACCATGCAAATGTCAGGCATTACTGTATGAATTACAGGACAAACCTATGGGAGGATCTCCTAGGGCAATTAAGAAGCTGACTTTTGACAAGAGCCCAAGCTTTCCTAGGTTGCTTGTCAGCCTTGAGGCTGGGTAGCTCATCTTCTCTGGGGATATGTAAATATTCAGGTTTTCTACTTGGTGGCTGAGAGTGTATGTCTGTTTGGACTTTCCCAGAGCAGTTTGCAACCAGAGGCCACAACTGCAAGAGTGGTTCAAAGCCCAAAATGGAAGCTACCATGGATACTTTAAGCCCATGTCTACCTGGCTTCTAGGTGAGGTTCACTCACATGGTCTGGCTTATTCAAACACCATCCGGATATGACTGTCAGAGTGCAAATGAGACTTAGATATTCAGGAACCCTCTCTTTTCTCTGCTCTTCTTGTAGCTTTGACCGTAGTGGTAAGTGGGATATAAAGACTTTAGTGTAATATCATAAGCAAAAAGAGACTGATATGAAGAATCCAGAGAGTAAAGGTATTTTCTTTTCCCTATTAAGTAGAATTTCTCAACCTGAGCACTATTGACATTTTTGGCCAGATGATTTCTTGTTGTAGGGGGCTGTCCTGTACATTGCAGGATATTTAACAGCATCCCTGGCCTCTATCCACTAGATGCCAATAACACCTCTTACCTTGTGACAACCCAAAATATCTTCAGACATTGCCAAATGTCCCCTGGGGGCAAATCACCCTCCCCATTGAGAACCACTACCATTTAAGGTAGTGTCACATTTCAAAGACCATATTTTGCCTTAATTTTACCCACATGGCATGTCCAGATCTTGAACAGAATCTCAGAAAATATGGAATATTTTGTGAGGAAACAGCATAAAAATGAGTCTTCACAAATTAATAAATTTTGACAAATGGTTGAATTCATTGTTATAATCGTTACCACATCCCCATCAGCATCTAACTTTTGTTGAGCACTCACTATGAGTGAGGTGTTGATTATAGCAAAGATCTATAAGGCATAACCCCAGCCTTCAATATAATAAGAAACTACTGACATTTATGTCCCCAAAGGGAAAGGGTTACAAATTTTCGTGGGTAACTAGTTTCTGGATTGAATCCAAATTGGCTTTCTCCCTTTTTTGTTTCCCTTTTGTCCCCAAAGAGTAACTTATTCTTTAAGGTTCTGTCTTAGGAAGATTTCTCTTTGTCTTGCTAATTACTTAGCCCCACACTGAAATTTTTTGCGACTTCTCTATATATGGCACTTATGCCGTAATAATGGATCCAGCATCGAAATGACCACAACATCACAAGGCTTTAACCAACTGAGCAGTTTGAAGGCAGGTTTTTATTTACAATGCAAAACGCTTCTCGTTACCTGCATATTAGAGAAATACTCAACAATGGCAAAGGCAAAGGAAATGAAATGGAAGAAGAGATGATTCTTAAAATACTGTGCAGTATTGAAAAAAATGTCTCGGAGTGATTGTGAGTTTTAACACTCAGCAGTATCTCTGCACCAGGAAGTCAAACAACACAAATGTGAGTTGTAGGATCCTGATCAGGAATTCAGCAAAGGAAAACATGGGAGGAAGTGTGGAATATCTGTTCAAAATCAGCTGAGTAAGCTCCTGCCTTAGAAAATAAGTTTCCAGCGAGCCAGACCTACATCAATGTCACTTGCTTTGAATAACTCCTAGCCAAATACCATGCATATATATAGCAGCATGTCACTTATAAAGACCAATAATCAGCACATTTAAACTTTGTATATTCATAAATTATGACTTTCTGGCCAAGACTAATTATGTATTTAAATAAAAGTTTGGCCTGAAATGAGACCATGAATGGCTGTAAGTGATTGAAAACATGTTTCACATTTCAAAAGTATGTTTAAATTCTTATGTCGCAACAGGATCCCTGTAATCAAGGCATAAGGCCTTAAATAATGACTAATCTTAATAAAATAAATGTAAACAGCACCACACTTCATGGATTAGCTAAGGACTTTGATGTGCTTACCATTAATAGGAATGCAAATAGGGCTGGCCCTGGGCAAATTTATAAAGTGGAATTAAAGAATCAAAGAACATTAGAGAACATTGGGCCAGTGAGATGGGCCTTGCCTGAGGTTCTGTGAGTTGGTGACAGAGACAAGACTCCAGTCAAGTCTTGCTGCCCTGTTACTGACTGTCTGTGTGGCCTTAGGAAGGGCAGGTTTAGTCTTTATTCTGCCCGCCCCCTCCTCAGCTTATTAAAATCTGCCCTAATGGAATGATATGATCTGCCCTAATCAAAATACTAGTGCGCTCCCTCTCTCTAGTGTAGCACTATCTTCAGCCTTTTTTTAAATTTTGGGGAAAGAAAGGCTCTATCTCCTTTGTAGATAAAGTTTAAGCATGAGGGGACAGGTGTTTCTTTGGGATAAAGCTTCCTGGGGCCCCTGCAATCACCCCGATTGTAAGTCAAGCCTTGTAAATCTTTGGAGGCTGGGAGGACGACAGAGAACGTTTGTTTCCCCTTCCATTTTCAAGAATAGGTAATTTTTTTATTTTAGGGAGGGCTTGGTACAAAAATAAAATTTTAATTTGAATATTTTTCTCTGGAGGATTGGTTGGTGTGAAGGAATATCTGGTGAGCTGTGCTTTATTCTTGAGCAATGACCCAGGTCCTCATGGGCAGAGTGGTTTTCTATGGAAGGTTCTGGGAGTGAGTTGTGCTAGAGAATGTAATCTTTGGAGTCAGACAGACCTAGGTTTGAATTCCAGCTCCATGTCTTAATAGTTATGGAAATTAGGTTACATGAACCTTGGCTTGCTCATCTCTAAAATGGGGATAATGATTCACAGAGTTGTTTAGTGGATTTAATTAGGTAATACATAAGCTTAGCACAGTCTAATATACAGCTGTAGCTCAATGATTGTTAATTTCCCT